ATGGAGTCAGTAAAGGTGAGTGTAGGTGGGGAGTTAGGGAGGGGATAGGTCAGTCCAGGGAGGACGGATAAGTCAAGGGCGTGGGATGAGGTTAGTAGGTAGGAGATGGGGGTGCGGCTTAAGGTGGGAGGAGGGGATAGGTGGGAGGAAGGACAGGTTAGGGAGGCGGGGAAGAACTGGACTGGTTTTGGGATGCGGTAGGGGGAGGGGAGATTTTGAAGCTTGTGAAATCCACATTGATACCATTGGGCTGCAGGGTTCCCAAGTGGAATATGAGTTGCTGTTCCTGCAACCTTCGGGTGGCATCGTTGTGGCACTGCAGGAGGCCCAGGATGGACATGTCGTCTGAGGAATGGGAGGGGGAGTTGAAATGGTTCGCGACTGGGAGGTGCAGTTGTTTATTGCGAACCGAGCGTAGGTGTTCTGCAAAGCGGTCCCCAAGCCTCCGCTTGGTTTCCCCGATATAGAGGAGGCCACAACGGGTACAGTGGATGCAGTATACCACATTGGCAGATGTGTAGGTGAACATCTGCTTGATGTGGAAAGTCTTCTTGGGGCCGGGGATGGGGGTGAGGGAGGAGGTATGAGGGCAGGTGTAGCACTTCCTGCGGTTGCAGGGAAAAGTGCTGGGTGTGGTGGAGCTGGAGGGGAGTGTGGAGCGGACAAGGGAGTCATGGAGAGAGTGGTCCCTCCGGAAAGCAGATAAGGGTGGGGAGGGAAAGATGTCTTTGGTGGTGGGGTCGGATTGCAGATGGTGGAAGTGTCGGAGGATGAAGCGTTGGATCCGGAGGTTGGTGGGGTGGTACGTGAGGACGAGGGGGATTCTTTTTTGGTTCTTATTGCGTGGACGGGGTGTGAGGGATGAGGTGCGGGAGATGTGGGAGACACGGTTGAGGGCGTTCTCGACCACCGAGGAGGGGAAGTTACGGTCCTTGAAAAACGAGGACAACTGAGATGTACGGGAGTGGAATGCCTCATCCTGGGAGCAGATGCGGCAGAGGCGAAGGAATTGGGAATAGGGGATGGTTTTTTTGCAGGAAGGAGGGTGGGAGGAGGTGTATTCTAGGTAGCTGTGGGATTGAAATGGATATCGGTTTCTCGGTGGTTGCCCGAGATGGAGACAGAGAGATCCAGGAAGGAGAGAGAGGTATTAGAGATGGTCCAGGTAAACTTAAGGTTGGGGTGGAAGGTGTTGGTGAAGTGGATGAACTGTTCGAGCTCCTCGTGGGAGCATGAGGCGGCACCGATGCAGTCATCAATGTAACGGAGGAAGAGGTGGGGTTTAGGGCCGGTGTAGGTACGGAAGAGGGATTGTTCCACGTAACCTACAAAGAGGCAGGCGCAGCTTGGGCCCATGCGGGTACCCATGGCCACCCCCTTTGTCTGTAGGAAGTGGGAGGAATTGAAAGAGAAGTTGTTGAGGTTGAGGACGAGTTCGGCTATCCGGACGAGGGTGTCAGTGGAGGGGGACTGGTCGGGCCTGCGGGACAGGAAGAAGCGGAGAGCCTTTAGGCCATCTGTATGGGGAATGCAGGTGTATAGGGACTGGACGTCCATGGTAAAGATGAGGTGTTGGGGACAGGGGAATTGGAAGTTCTGGAGGAGGTGGAGGGCCTGGGTGGTGTCACGGACATAGGTAGGGAGTTCCTGGACCAAGGGGGAGAAAATGGAGTCCAGATAGTTGGAGATAAGTTCGGTGGGGCAGGAGCAGGCGGAGAAAATGGGTCGACCAGGGCATTCTGGTTTGTGGATTTTGGGGAGGAGATAGAAGTGTGCGGTGCGGGGTTGGGGAACGATGCGGTTGGAGGCCGTGGATGGGAGGTCATCTGAGGTGATGAGGTTGTGGATGGTTTGGGAGATGATGGTTTGGTCCTCGGGGGTGAGGTCATGATCAAGGGGGCGGTAGGAGGAGGTGTCGGAGAGTTGGCGTCTGGCCTCGGCGATGTAGAGGTCAGTGCGCCATACTACAACTGTGCCTCCCTTGTCCGCAGGTTTTATGGTGAGGTTGGGGTTGGAGCGGAGGGAGCGGAGAGCTGCACGTTCTGCGGGGGAGAGGTTGGAGTGGGTGAGAGGGGTGGAGAGGTTGAGGCGAATTGGCTTGATGGTAGGTACCAGAGAATAATAGTGGAAGGATGCTTGTCTGACTGAAGGACTGTGATTAGTGGTGTACCTCGGGGTCGGTGCTGGGCCCAATTCTGTTTGTTAACTTTCTCAATGATTTGGATGAAATGCACAAGACATGACTGGTAAGTTTGCGGAGACATGATTAGCCAGTTTGTGAATGACTCTGAAATAGGTCGTATAGTGGACTGTGAGGAAGATTATCAGAACTTGCATCAGGATCTTGATCAGCTCGGGAAATGGGCCGAGAAATGGCAAATGGATTTTAATGTACAAAAGTGTGAGGTATTGCATTTTGGAAAGTCTAATCAAGGCAGGAATTTCATGGTGACTGATAGGGCCTTGAGGAGTGTAATGGATGAGAGAGGCTATGGCGTTCAGGTGCATAGTGGAGTCACAGTGCAGTGAAGAAGGCTTTTTGGCACAATGGCCTTTATCAGTCAGGACATTGGGGATAGAAGTTGGGAAGTTATGTTGCAGTTGTACAGGGGGTTGGTGGAGTATTGTGTTCAGTTTTGGTCACCTTGCAGTAAGAAGGATGTTGTTGAAATGGAAAGAGTGCAGAAGAAATTTACAAGGATGTTGCCAGGACTCAAGAGATTGAGTTAAAGGGAGATGTTGAACAAGCTATAACTGTTCTCTTTAGAGCATAGGAGACCAAGGGTGGATCTCATACTTGTAAATAAGATCACGAGAGGCATGGATAGGGTGAATGCACTCAGTCCTTTTCCCAAGGTTAGGGAATCGAGGACAAGAGAGCATCAGTTGAAGGTAAGAGGGAAAAGAATACATAGGAACCTGAGAGGCAACATTTTTACACAGAGGGTGGCGCGCATATGGAATGAGCTGCCAGCCAAAGTCATTGAGGTGTTAACAATATTTAAAAGGCATTTGGACGAATACATGGATAGGAAAGCTTTAGAAGGTTATGAGCCAAGTGCAAGGAAATGGGATAAACGTGGATGGACAGTTTCATCAGCATGGACCAGTTTGCACTGAAGGGTCCGTCTCTGTGTTGTACAACTCTATGACTTTCTGACATTATTTGCGATCGAAGTGAACAGAAGTACTGTCGATGCAATCTGAGATGCCTTCTCCTGTTCCTCAGACATGCAATGGCAAACGTTAGTCTCTAGGTGGAGAGAAATGCTGTGACATTAACTGATTTTTCTTCACAGGAGTGTACCATCACAACCAAGTATAAACTGATTCCTAACCATGCTGCAATGTGTAATTTTCCGTCGGAAATCCAGTAAATTTGGCTTATTTTCGAAGTATAGAAAGATTGTGGCTTAAGTTACCTCCTGAGATAAAAAGCTGAATAACTTCAATTGAGTTTCGCTTCTGTAGTATCCAATTGAATTGGTCAGTTTGAATGCTATAAATGAGGAAAGAAATTATACACGGAAGATTTGCTGACAGGTTTTCTTTTATTTTCTGTGATTGATAAGAAGCAGGTTGTTGAAATCGGACAAAGATTAACATGATATGACCATAACAGCAATCAGGGAGATTGCATGGTGGATTCAATCTCATTGTTCCTTGAATCTATTTGCGTTGATTTCAGGCTATTGAAACTAATATTATACATTCAGTTGTTTTGCACGTGTGTTCTTGGATTATGCAGGGTATCAAAATCACTTCGTGGAATCCAATATTATGTCACCTCTATCCGTATTTTCTAAAACATGGCAGGGAGTGAAGCCATTTCATGTAAAATGTTGAAGATTTTGCTTGCAGGAAATGTTGATGAAAGATCGCTTTGGCCTTTTCCCATAACTTTCGATGATGCTTGAATATATAGCTAATAACTGTTGTAAATTACTGACTGAAATCTGATTTTGGAGGGTGATATCATTTTCTGTCTCTTAAGGCTTCAATTCAAGAGCCTTTGGGTCATTCACAATGTCCAGGGACTGCATGAAATGCAGATGTTGTTGTAAACTGGTAGGACGTTGAAAGTAGCAACGTGAGGCCTACCTTAAAACTATAGACATAAGGTAACAAGGGATGCATTAAGAATGCGCTATTGAGTGATGCCAAAAAATTTTTGGACTATCAAACTTTCTTGTTTTGTGCCACTGAAAATTGACAATGTGGCTAATTACAGTAATATTTTGGCATGACGTCTTACAAGATTGTTTAAAAGACATTTTAAAAATAATTTTAAATGTCGTCCCTGGAATCGTGGCATCTCAACTGAGGCCACTTTTATTGATCTGGCCCTTCAGGAATTACAGAATTCAGGATTTACCCACTGCAGAATTTCAAACCTCTGCCTTCTTGCAACAATAAGCCCAATCCCACTCCTAAAAAGTAAAATAATTAATTCAGCACGATCCATAATATCCAGTACCAAGGCATCAAGATCTGCTAATTATTTTTGAGTAATTGCTTCATTCATTACTGAATAGAACTACCAATTCAATACAGATAGTTATAATGATTTCTGTCTTTCATGAAAAATGAAGAATTGAAGACTGGATGCTGTTGGCAGATAAAATCCATGACGCCGATGCAATGGCTTTCTATGCCTCTTCTTTGCCGTGTGGCAAATTCCGAACGACGTTGCTCTACTCTCTGGAAGTGCAAGGTCATCCGATGCACTGGATCAATGAGCGCTTGCCAATTCCCCTTCAATTCACTGACTATGCTGACATACAATTCGACAGTTTTGTGCAGTCCTCTACGTAGCATAGATTGTAATGAATAAAGAAAGCAGGCCACTATCATCTCTCAAGGAGGAATTGGAGATGGGCAATAAAAGCTGGTATTATCAATGCTGCCCACTTTGCAGGAATGAGTTGCGATTCAACCTGATGGTTGTTACTGTGAGTAAACATTGGAAGTAAATGAATAGGGTTCTGAGCACCGATTGCTTAGTTTACAAAATGATTAATTTGATTTTATTTGCTGAAGGAGCACCACATATGAGACGAATACTGACATACTCATTGGAACAAACTGAAATAAATTGCATTCTGAAAACACGTGCTTGATTTAAGGCCAGGATTTCAGCAAAACTTGAATGAATGACAACATGAAGGAGATAATAACAGTTACATTTCACACCTCTGCGTTGACAGAATATGAAGGTAATAACTAAATAACAATACATTGAAGGCAAAGACATATTTAAATCTATACATGGCAGCATTATATTTCCACAGTAGGGGAAATTATTGCAAGTTTCCAAAGTTATTGACACTTCTTTTTTTTGTAAATTACAAGAATTATAGTCTTTTTAATGAAGTTAATTCAAATGGTCGAAAATACATATAGGAACAGAGTGACGGTAGTCAACAAACAGAAGCTTTACAAATGACAAAAATGGCACAAGCGGTTGAATAGCCTATTCTTGTCAAGAATGAATCCCTGACTCATTCAAAACAAGATTTATTCTCTTATATAACAACTAATCACTTTCATACTAACTTGGAAGATTTGCAGTTCAATAGACAGCAGCGAAATCTGCTATTTCAATGTTAACTGCGATGTTACACAGCGTCTGTTGTAGGTTTGCCTTTGCTTTGTCTTTTTTTTTTGGTAGAGAGAGACAGCGAATCATTTCATAATATGTTGGAAAATATCCCTTACAGCAATTGCTTTGGAGCAACTATTATCTGACAACATATTTAACGGGAATTCGTAAACATGGTTTGAAACAAGGAATCATATATGCAACACTTCTCTGCATATAAGTGTTGTGCAGTCCTCGACGTGACATAGATTGTAGTGGATAAAGAAAAGAGGCCACGATAATCTCTCAAGGCGATTACGGATAGTAATGGCAGTATACAGTATTTATATACAGAGTGTGAAATCCTGAGACTGTGTCAAGATGGAATCAAATTGGATGTAACACATGACCTTTTATTAAGTGTTGTCTGGGCTCTGTATGCAGTGACAAACTGAAGATATTCTCAAACATTTCTTCTGCTGGTTCGAGCAAACGAAATTATTACTCACATTGAGCACTGATAGCCTCAGTACTTAGCAAATAAAAATGCCAAACAGGAGAAAACTTCGGCTTGCACAGTCAGGTTTTTAATAACAACAGTGGCGAGAAGAAAGCTCATACTTGTAGGTATATTTCCAAATTTTTCTACGCAATTTGTGGATGATGTATTTTTTTTCTATAGGAGTGAATGAACCCTCTTGTGAAATCAATGGGCTTTTATCTACCCAATGCTCTTGGGTAAAAATTATATGTTTGACAGCCTGTCTACTGGATCTATCAGGAAAGTTTATCTGATTACTAGTCTCAAAGTTATATTGCACAAATCTCTAACAGGTCAGTTACATAAGATACATCTCCACTTTTTCAAAATGTTATACAGACACGTGGCAAATTTCCAAGATTTACCTTCAGTTTATTTAATTGTGGAAGTGTAATTTCCTCAGTTTGTAGCAGTTCCGTGGGATTTCTTGAAAACTAACAGCTAAAAAAAAGAGCAAAGGCAAACGCTTATGACCGAAAACGTGCAAGCAGTTCTCATTCCGAAGTTGAGACCACGTAGGAACACACACTGAAGTAATGCCATGGAACAGCTGATACGGTTGAGAGGAAAAGTAAATTCAATTCCATTTGCGATTAGTATCTAATGGGGTTTCATTCATAAGATTTCCATGAAACCAGATGTATTTGTCTTCAACAGCAGTGGTCAGTTCACCTGCACGTGAAAAAAAAACAATAATTACTTAAATAAAATATATAAACACATAGCAAAAAAGCCAGACTATGAAATCAAGAGGTCTGATTTATGATCTGGAAATGATTGACCAAAACTTATGCCGAGGTAGCCTCAACACTGGTCAGATGTTTCTTCAAGTATGCAAAGGACAAAGAACAATCTGGACGTGGAAGAAAGACGAATGGAGCCTACATTCAAGTTTTCACAGAAGATAAAGTTTAGAAGCATAGCAAGTAGTGTGCAGAGAAGTTTTCTAGCAATTCAGCAGATCAAACGAGAAGAAGGAAATAAAGGTAGATCAAGGCCCGTGTGGGCAAGCGTCAGGTCATTTACCGCTGCCAAACACAGAGCTAAATTGATTTATAAACATCAACAAATTATAAATTCCTGTTGTTAAATTAATTGAATTAATTTTCACTCTTCACCATGATCCTGCAATTGGCGTGTCACTTAAAATCGCTCAATGAAAACCGTGGTTGCAGTTGACAATGTGAATACCGGTTGCAGAAGTGCTGGGAGAATAACGTGTTTCAGAGACCAGTTAATGAAAAAATGAAGCAGCACACCCTGCAGCATATAACGACAAACTGTTGAGAATTAAATTTCGAAAATTAGGGCCGGAAATTCAAGCAGAACCTGTTTTGCTGAAAAAATCAACAGATGACAACTTATGTCTGTGTGGGATATTCAATACACAAGCGATTAAAAATAAAATGCAAAAAGGCTCTTTCATGCTCCTTGAACATTTCAAAAAAAATGAAGCATCTTCTCTAACTTAATCAGGTGTCTTGTGAAATGAGGTTTTCAGCTACTCGCAAAACGTATGGCTGGAATGCAGGAATTATATTTCTCAGACAAAACATTCTCATCAATCAAGAAAACTAAATAACACTGGATACTGGAAATCTGAAACTAAAACAGAAATTGCTGGAAAAACTCAGCGAGTCTGGCAACATCTGTGGAGAGAAAGCAGCGTTAACGCTTTGGGTGCAGTGACCTTTCTTCAAAACGTCTGTATTTGTTCCTTTTTGATGAACAAAACGCTGATTTCGAATTCAAGGCTGTGTGTGTGAGACGCAAAGAGTGAGACATTCTGTTATAATTACATACAACTCTTAATTTTGTGTTTGGTTCGACAGACCACGCTGCAAGGTGGATACATTTGTCATAAATTCTCCATAACACAGGGTCACCAGAACGATGCAGTGCCTAAATATCTGAAACGTATGAGGGTTGGTTGCAGCAATTAGGCTGAAGTTCTATCAAAGATGAATTATTCGAGGTGGCTGAAATTAGGTCTTGGAGAAATGCAGTGAAATAAGACAATTCTTGAGATGGATGAAACTGATGTATTGAGGTAGTAACTACATCTCATTATCTGATGATGATAATGATGTTGTTGATCGCAGACTACACAACTATGAGGGATAATAATATAATTAACGCTAACCGGTTAGGAGAGATGTGATGAAACATTTCCTCATATAAAGGATGCTGGAGATATTGAATTCACATTCTTGACATTGTGCGGATGTCGTTGGCCACCTTTTTTTTTAATGAAGGCGTCTGGACATTCACCTTTATCAGTATATATTGTATAGGGTTAGGATTAGGGTTACGACCAGGGCGGTTATATTGGAGCTATACAAAACTTTGATTAAGCCACAGCAGATAACTGTGTGTAGTTCTGCTCGCCAAACAATAAGAAGTTTGTGGTTGCAATAGACGGAGTGTCGAAGAGATTCACCACACCCGAAGCAGTTTAGTTATGAAGATTGGCTGTATGTTCCCTGGTTGTTTTCTTTACATCAGAGAAAACAGATGGGGGACGTAGTTGAGCTGGATATGATTATGGGCAGCATGGACAGGGTAGATAAGAAACTATTGTTTCCCATAGTTGAACGGTCAATGAGGAAGGTACCTAATTGTAAAATGAAGTGTGGGTGGGTTAGAGTGAATTTGAGGAAATATTTGCTCAGCCAGACAGTGGTAGGAATCTGGAATGCACAGCCTGGGAAGGGAGTAGGCCTTTGATATGAACGTCGATGAGCACTTCAATTATCATAACATTCAATGCAAATGCTGGAGGGCGGGATTGGAGTATTTAGGTCGGTGCAGACTCGATGGGTCGAAGTTCCTCTTCTGTGTTTCATGACCCTATGACTCTCCCTCCAGGACAAACAATTTTCTGCATCTATCCTGCCAAGTCCTGGAAAAAACCTTGCATGTTACAAATAAATTCCCCTCTCATTTTTGTATGCAAACATACTCAAGCTTTCCCAGTATCTTCACACTGATCTGTCGCTGATCCTTCATTAACTAATGTTTTCCTCATTCCATTGCGGAGATGCTGAATCATTTCAAAACAGTTATTTGTGAACTCTTTTCAATCTATTTGTTTCCTTCATACCCTCTTGTCTCAATATGTTTCACTGTGCCTGGTTTATTATCAATAAGTACGAACCAAATCTTTTTTACCCTATATTATGTCCTTCTATGAGCCGAAGCTAACAATTAAGCATTATCTCATTACTGACATATTTTTGTTTCTAAATACTACAGTATTTTATGTTTGCATTCATTCTTCTGTGCAATCATTCTATCTAGGAGGTATATTCAAGAAGACAGTTAATCAGTCAAGTCCAATGTCATTCTATTGTATAGGAGCATCTATTCTTCAGTAAAATATATGCATTCCGAGGTGAAGATTAGCAACATCTCAGCTCTGAATGCATTGCTACTGAAATGTGTTATTACCTTAAGCACAGTTACAAATGTGCTGTACAGCATACTGAGAATAAACAAGATCACGAAAGTCATCATGGATAATGAACTGTTGGCATCTTCATTGACATCTTCTAGTTCGTCTTCTTCTGTGCCATGGTCTTCCGGTCTTTCTATTATTTCAGGGGTATCTGCAATCAAAAGATGAATATTGTTATAAATTAGCCACATTGAGAAAACAATCTCAACAAAGGTTCTAGAATACAACGGCACTGGCAATTATGAGAGATGTGACACATTTATTTTTCGACTGAGTGAAATTGAAAATGGAATTAATGCTCCATCATGGGATATTCATGACACAGTGGCATAGTTGTGAGAACAAGTAAAAGAGGGCAGACAATAGTCAGCGCAGCTTTGTCAGAGTGACGTCGTACCTAACATTTTTTTCTGAATGTTTTTGAAAATGCGATCAAGTGTGCGGATAACAGAAATTTCACAGATGTAGTTTATGTGTGGATTTTACACACAAAAACAAATTCTCCAGTATTAAACTTTGCTTCCTGTCGATGGCATAGTTTTGTATCCAAACTGGTCACATTCGCCTGTATCCCATGGGCTTAAGTTTCCTGAACAGTCTTCCACGTTGGACCTCGTCCATCACCTCACTATGTCTATTTAGACATCACCCACAGAACTATCTCCATGAATCACCTTGTTCCTACCACACCAAAAAATCAATAAACTTCGTAGGATACGATGTTCACTTCACAAATTCATGCAAATTTTCTCTGATTCGTCCATGACATTTTTTTTCGAGGCATTACATCTGATCTCTAAATATTGATTCTCTTAACTTGCCCTCAGTGGAGTTCAAACTAACTGGCCTATAACTATATGGTCCACTGTCAAACCACTTCCGATACTGGAACAATATTTGATGACTTACAATTCTCTGGTACCTCACATGCATCTCGTGAGAATTGATAAATTATCCTTTGAGCATCTGTTATTTCCTCACTGGTTTCCTTTTACCACGAGATATTTATATGCTTTCAAGGAGGTTAGTCTCCCCATTGCTTTCTTTCTCATTATTATTTTGTCTAATATTTTACTGTACCCCTTTTTAATTACATTGTCTGTGTCAACTCTCTCCTTTGTGAAGACAAATTATTCTGTAAGAACCTTACGATGCCCATTTCTCTTAGACCCAACACTTTCTTTATTAACTGCATCACCTTAAAAAGCACCAAGAAAACATATTTAGGTATTCTTTGACTTTTCCAGCTTTTCTTTTCCTGCATCTTGTCTTTGCTTTCCTAATCTCCTTTTTGCTAATATTATCTTGGATTTTGTAGTTTTCTGCTGTTGTGACCATAGGAACATAGAAACATAGGAGCGGAAGCAGACCACTCAGCCCCTTGAGACTGATTCACCATTCTGGATGGTGGCTGATCATTTACTTCGTGCTATTTTGCCAGATATCCACATTTCTACCAATGTCATTAGCATCTAGAAATCAATCGTACACTGTCTTGAACATGCTTAATAAATGATATAATCTCTCATTATTCCATTTGCTGAGCCTATGGATCCAGCATCTTCAATCTCTTATCATAAGACAACGCTACCGTCGCACAAATTTGAGATCCAGATGTCTATTGCATTTCATCTGAAGGAAAGTGTATACTTATTTAAGTGAAAGGAAGATTGTGTACTATATTTGGTGCAATTTTATGAAAACTGCAAATTTGAATCAAGATATACGAATGTATTCAAATTTTTCTTGCAATGAATGTACTTAAAACATCGACTTTCTTCATTGCTTACTCATCAATTTGATTTGATTAGTTTCATTATTGTCACCGGTACCTAAGTACAGTGAATTGTTTTGTTTTGCGTGCAGTACAGGCAGATCGTATTGTACAAATGATATAGGGTCATCAAACAGAGCGAAAATAAATTGCTATGGCTGCAGATAAGATCCATCGGGAGAGATCAAATTTAATTTAAAATTTTGAGAGTTCCATTCAGAAGTCTAGGAGCGGTGGGGAAGAAGGTTTTCTTGAATCTATTCGTACATGTATGCAAACTTTTATATTTTCTAACCAATGGAACAGGGTGGAAGAGAGTATGACAGAGATACGAGTGGTCTTTGATTACATTGGTTGCTTTCCCAAGGTAGAAGGAAGTATAGATGAAGTCAATGGATGGAAGGCTGGGCTGTGCTCACGACTCTTCTGGTTTCTTGCGGTCGTGGGAAGAGCAGTTTCCAAACTGAGCTGTGATGCATCCAGATATAATGCGTTCTATGGTGCATCTGTGAAAATTCATTTGAGTCCTTGTGGACATGCCGAATTTTCTTAGTGTCCTGAGGAAGTAGAGATATTGTTGTGATTTCTTGGCCATTCATTCGATGTGAGTGAACCAGGATAGATTGTTGGTGATCATCACTCCTAGAACATTGACACTCTCGACCTTCTCCACCTCAGCACTACTGATGCAGACAGGGGTGCGCCCTTTACTCTGCTTCCTCAAGTCAATGGTCGGCTTCTTCATTTTGTTGACATTGATGGAGAGATTGTTGTCTGTACTCCATGACTCTAAGCACTGTATCTCATTCTTGTATGTGCTAACTTTCAATTACTAATCTATTCGGACTTACAAGTTCCTTTTAGCGCCAACAATTCCCAATCTCTTGGCCTTGAAGAAATATTCCTTATCTCAGGTCGCCGTACCACAGTGTATAACCTCACACATAATCTACAAAATAATGCATCTGCTTTCTTCTTGCCCAGACATCAGGTTGTCCATATCACCTTGGAGGTTCCTCGCATTCTCATCACAACAAACATAGATATATTCCACTCATAATGCTGGAAATATCACATCGTGTCATAATTGTCATTGACATAGATTATGAATAACGCGTGCACGAGTGTTGTTCCTTGTGATATTTCACTTGTAACAATCCTCTAACAATAGAATGATAGTTTGTTTATTCTATTTAGACTGATTGTGTTTTCTTCAAATTAACTAAATCTTAATTAATGCCAGTATAATATCCGCTATCAAGAAATCTTGAATTCACATCAGTATAGTTCATGCAGAGAAATTAGTGCTCGTAATGTATTCGGGCAGTTGGATTTGTTCATCCAATGCAATCATGATTGCAGAAGTGTCGTACTGACTAAACTATTTCACATATGAATTCGCTGTTCACATTCAGGGTCTTAGTCTATCACTGCCATTCCAGGTTGAACTGATCTGCAAAAGATTCTCAACAGCGGCTGCATCTGGCATCCATCTCAACACAAAAGCACGGAATTTTAATTTATTTGTGTGCAATTCATTTCAGGACTTCAGTGAGTTATGTGAGTTAGCTTTGAGTTAGCAAGGAAGAGACGGTGAAATATGATGGAGTTCAGATGGCAAGAGGCAGATAGTTTGGCACTGCGGAGCCTGATCGAGGACTTGAGAAGCAGAGAGAAGGCAATTCCCGAACCTTTTCTTATGTCTCTGACTAATCCACAAGTTGTGCTTAAAATAGCTCACATAGCATGGTGAATTATACAGTTCACCAACGAACTCCAGCACGTAAAGCCACTGATCCTTCAAAAAACGAGATACTTTTGACCATGATCAGGTATCACACACGATAGTTTAGCAATTTGTTTCGTTCGTGAATCACACAAGACTGTGCATACACAGATTCCATTTCCAGCAGCAGCATCATTCTGCAATTGACAGGCAGTGCCTAACATGTTTAGATACCTCATGACATGGCTTAAGGAATCCACTGTACTTACTGACACTTCCGCCAATATGGGCTGGTGGGACGATCTACAGCACAGTTTCTCTCTAATTTAACGAAACAGACACGACATGGATAGATACCACATTATAGATATTTTCCCATTCAGAGACAGCCTTACAAAAGGATACACAGAATAGACAACAGAAGATCGACTCTACAATCACCAATCCAGCACAAACCGTTATCAAATAACAATATCAACAGACTTATCTACTCACAGAAATGCCCTACAGCATTGAAAGCTGTCACATAGAAGAGCAAACCGAAGTTTCTCTCTCGCAAATCTACTGGCAATAAATAGCTGATGTCATGCTAAACTGCTAAATGTCCAAATCTTCATCACCTTCACGAACAGCAGTTCAGACGTGTATGTTCACCAAAGTAGATGACCTGAGCGTGCTATCTCGTACCTCACCACTGGTGTAGCCTTTCGTGACCATGCATAAATTTCAGAACTACATTCCTTTGTATTATTTCCTCTTAATCTATTCAGCACACCTGCTGTACAATAAACTGTGATCAAAACAGTCAATGCGAAATTTATGCCTTGTCTATTCTGAATGTCGCAGAAATTTTGCAAAAGATTTTCTTCCGCCATTTTAAAATGGAGGTCTTCTGGAGGAAGAAGGGCAGTAGGTGCAGGACAACCTGGACACCATCCTGTCAACCAATTACCTTGACTGCTCCATTGGTTTCACCTTGTTGTGTGCGAAGGTTCAGCATAATTATTTAAATAAAAATCAAAAAAGTCTGCAAATGATGTAAGTCAGAAACGAAATCAGAAATGGGTGGAAAAGTTCAGCGCATCTGGCAGCATCTATGGAGAGAAATCAGAGTTAACGTTTCGGGCCCAGTGACCCTTCCTCAGAGGTTCTGAAGAAGGTCACTCGACCAGAAATGTTCTCCACAAATGCTGCCAGACCTGCTGATACTTTTAAAATGGTCTGCTTGGTACACAGGTTGTAAATACCATAAGGCCATTACAGAAACGAATGGATCAGCTAACTGATCATAGATTTGGATCCATTATAATGCTGCAAGTCTATATTTTCATTGTGTAGATGGACTCCGAATTTGCATCATTAGTCAGAGATAGCGGTAGGTTTTACATCGATGAGGTTCGAAGCACAAAGTCTTGTGGGGATGCAGTAGTGATGCTGTGCGAGTGGATTAGACATCACTGTGTTTGAATATTTGGCAAGACTGATTAAGTGAAGGTAAGGCTGGACAATCACCAATTTGGAGAACTGAATGTCCTTGGATGGACATGATGGTGGCAGTAAAATTCTGAATGCATTACAGTCTAGAACAGCATAGGTGCAGAAGGATTCGTTCAAGCAATGTGGGAAGGGATCACATCAATAGTGATGGAAGAGGAATTGGAGGAATCTGGATAAGTCAGGAATATTTTTGTAAGGGAAACATTCACGGACATTGTTGAGAGTGGTTCAGTGAGTATGGTGGTGATGAATTAATGGGAACTGCTGCGAATTTGTATGCTATGTAACTGAGTTTTGTGTCAATTTAAGACTGTGGAGAGTGGAAGATGTAAAGCAGACAATGAGAGGCTAAACAGTCAGGTCGAAAGACATGATAGGACTGGTTGAGCTTGTCGAAAGCAGATAAGCCAGAAGAAACAGCAATCATCTGTCGGGTTGAGCGATAGGCTTGGACATTCACTACATTTAAATAGGGTGTCAATTCAGAAAAGAAAACCTCTCACAACAGGAAATGGCTAAAGAGTTCATTGGCATGGATGAGTCACGTCCTGGGTTTGTAGTCAGAATTGAGGACAATGTTTTTGGATTCTGCGCTATTTTATTGTGTGTTCACATCTCAGGAGGTATTGGACATACACAGAGAGAAGAAACAGGCGATTGTGAGAGAGAATTATGTGATATCAGTGTCGAAATGGAGTCTGAGTTCGCATGATATTCTTCGGGGCCTACTTGTAGGCTAGACTGGATGAGGGCTCAATCACAGATCCTTGTGGGGATGCAACACTAAAGCTGTGGACTAGAATTCGACGTCACTACAATAGAATAATTGGCAAAGCTGGTTAAGTGAAGGTCAGAGCAACTTGGATGACAGATTGTCATACTAAATAAGTTGGCATCATATGAACTTCAGTCATTCCATTCAACAACTAGATACTCCACTGTCTAAGCATAACGGAGGATTGCTGCCCAAAACGGCTAGGATAAGTATGACTTAATCAGTGGCGACCCGAGCGGATATAAAATTTGCATGTGTAAAAAGGCTGCCGTGCTGGTGCATCAAAAATGGATATCGCACACACTTCAATCAAGGTCTAAATCACCTTTCTGAAAGTATTATATATGCAAACCAAGAATAAGTAAGTCAGAAAGTTTTCATTCTGCATTTATTACAATTATTGGAGCCACATACAGACTGAAACATAACTTCCTGGTCTTTCAGTACCGGACTGAAAGCTTCAAGTTATCTTCAGAACGATTACACTGGCAATGTTGTACTTGTATTTCAGTATCTAACAATAATTATCTTTCACCAACAGATAGAATTTGAAACAATGGCTATTTTCTTTTTCCAGAAGTGTTCACTGATTGGAAATGTGACTATTGCGTGCAATGAATTGAAATGCATTGGTTCAGCTGCTTAAACAGTTTTTTTTTCGCAAGAACAATATTACCCTATCTATGGAAAACAAATCATCAATCACCGCAAGTTATGTGCAGGGTTTAACAGTGTCGCTTAGTACGACTGAAACATTAACTAACGACGGTTTACCGTGAGATTTATTTGTACTTCTGATTAAATCCCGATTTAGGGACGGGTGTCCCACTAAGCAGGAGTAAGTGGTGTCACTGTTCCATTCCGCCACTGTGAGTCTCAACATGCTGGTAACGAAACTGGAATCATTCCCATTCTCGCTGCTTATTTGGGTCCGGTACCCAGAATCCAAAAGAGTGTCATTTGCCATCCAACCAACGTAAATCTCAGCTGGGTAAAAGTTGGTGGCTAGACACATCAGGGTAGCCGAATTCTCAGCGTCAATCTCGTCCGTCGATGGATGCAGGAGATAAACCTTGGGAGGATGCATTTGGATGACTGCAAAGAGAGATATTTGTTTAACTCAGACAGTCTTATATCTGCATCACAATTTCTTTGCTAGTAATGCATGTGCTTTATAAAATATTTCCTATCTGTAAGACTGTACAAATATCTCTGAATGCTAGAGAACGATATGTCACTTTAGTGGTAGTTTCGATCTTGCAGAGAATCACATTTTTGAAAGGACTGCCGCTCTAAGGGTGCAAATGATTCAACTACTCGTAGGTCATCATGCTCGTCGTTATACTTTTGCAGAACGGTAGGAGCCAGAACTGTTAGACTTCTGGTCATTTAATGTAAAAAAAAAAGATGATTTGCAAAAATATTTATACATTGGATTAGATAATGAGACAGTTTTACCTCAACAGTAACATTAACAACCCTTTTTAGGAAGGAGACATACTGGGCTGGAAAGGTTCACCCTACTTCTATCTCCACAGATTCAACCAGTCCAGCTCAATTTCTACAGCACCTTCTGTCATTTCAGATTTCTGACATCCATTCTTTTTGTTCTTATTGCAGTATTATCCCCACTTACCGTTTTCCTTCCTGATGGAGGCTTTTACTGGTGTTGGTAATTCACTGTCTTCTACCAAGCAAACATATTCGGTACCACTGTCCCACTCCGACGCCACGACTTTGAGTTTGCTCACAATGGTGGATTTACTTCCGCTCCACTCGGGATTCTGCGTCTCGACTCCTTTCTTTCTCTCAGCCCCATTCACTTGCCAGAAAACTTTGATGTTTTCTAAGTCGCTGTAAACGATTTCGCAAACAATGGTCGCTGTCTCTTTTGTCCAAATCTCTTCAAACGGAGGCTTCAGTAGACTGACCGAAATATCTGTCTGACGGCAATCACCTGGAAAGAATAAGGAATACATTTTTCAGGCTGCAATCTTGAAATAAATTCCAAAATACTACAAGAGTTGGGAATTAGTTTACTTACTGCAATCTGTTATCTGTTTTCTCAGATTGTTTCGGCTTAGTTAATTAGATGTTGTGTCCTCCTGTTCACGTTGTTTTCATTCGCTGTGTCCGCTATGGATGCGCCTTTGGTAATATTTGCAATGTATTATTGCACAATTTGGAAATTGTTCTGACTTGGGCATACCGGGGCCTAATTGTTTCTGTTCTGGTGTTGCACACTCTTACTTTTTGCAGTTATTGATGCCAGAAGATAGTTGCTGCAGCCTGGACTGCATTTGTCAGAATACAATAGCAGATGAGGAAAAAGATGTCATAAATATCTCCTATTCCATAACTAAAATTACTTTCACTGCATCCGACCAACGAATGGAGAAATTCCCCTGATGTCAATCTGCATTTTGATCGTTTGCATCCTTTGACATGATTTGGTTGTCCTATTTCCTCGGCAGAATCTTTTATTTTAAAAAAGAGATACTTACTGCACAATTCACGTCCGGTCAGGGGCATTCTCTGAAGATGGCTGTTGCATTAGCTATTATTTTAAGAGTGTGAAGTGAAGAAATCTAAAATATTCTGAGCACGTATCTCTGACATCTCAACTTTAACACTGAGAATAGCCAAAACTCATAGCTGTCGGTATTCTGCCAACGTTAAAGGGACGTATAAGACGTGGGAAAACATGCTTTTAGATTTTTAAAGCAAAATGGTCGTTTTTAATGCAGTAACAGTTACTTGCTTTGTGCATAATGGAAAAAACAAATGAAAAGAAGATTCTTGAATCTTTTGCTTGTATTGTCACTCTAAGTATTACAACCTTTATTATATTTGTAGAATCAGTTAACTCTACAAGTTCTAATATCTCTTGTGAGGACGGATGTTCCGTGTCTATCATGCAGTTCGAATCGAATCATTTTATTTTGAATGCATTTCGTAAAACTTTTGCATTTCTTCAATGATGCTAGGTTTGATGGGTGGGGAGAAAAATTGCAGAAACTACTCCTGTGTTGATTAATATTACTGTCTCGCATTCCAAACTTTCAGTCTGAATACTTGCTTATCTGCTGGCCGTCCTGATTTAATGTCTTCCACTGACTCTCCATTCAACCTGACAGACGGTTAACATGAATTTGTGGGTTGGCAACCTGAGCACAGTCAGACTATATTATCATTTCTTCAATATATAATGTGGACATATTTTATGTTACAAGATCAGTTCCATCTGAAGAGCCTTGGTGATAACTGCATGTTCAAAACGTAGTATCTTTTCAGTAGTAAAACTGAACGTTGGGAGGAGAAATAGTGCTGTGAGAAAACTGATGGCGATGAAATGAATCTTCTGCACGTGTTAAAAACAGAAGTCGAAGATTTAACTATGACTTTTTAAATTTCAAAATGTTCCGTGTACAGACGACATGATTTTAATAGGGAAACCTTCCCCCACCCCGGCATTCTAAACTGAAAATCATCACAATTTCAAGTGAATTTCTTCCATCACTGTGGAAAAGAAAGTGGCATTTCATATTGATATAATGTGGTGTACAAATTTCTTTGAGGAATCTTGTCTTGACTGAACAGTTTTAGTTATTCAACAAGGAAAAAAAAGCATGTGTAGCCCATTCTACAGCAAGTGAATAAGATTCCCATTCGGCCCTGACCTTTGCAAGAGCACAATACGTTCATTTCCAGCAAGAGCCCTCAGAGGGATTGTATGTAACTCATACAAGTCTATCCCAGTTCAACTTTCAAAGAATCTTCAACAATCCTAAATCAACGCATGGGGTTCTGGTAGTTTGCTATTTCAGTGCATGGGTGCTCAACAAACGGAATTTTTCCTGATTAATGTTTGTGACTGCATCTGTGAGCAATATTTGCTCAGATGCATCTTTGTTCTTTCTCACTGATGTATGTGATTTGCTGGAATCCCTTTGTCACCTCAGCTAGTGTTTCACTCAAATTTATTCAATAATTATCGGTAAGTGAATGACACAAGGTTTTCGCAGCCCAGTAATCGATTCTCTTGATCACAGACCCGTGTACCAGAGATCAGTGTTGAAAACTTGATGTCTTGCTATTCATTTCTTTAGGACATAAATTGGCGGTTCCACAGTCCACAACAAAATCGGGTCAGATCAATGAACTAAGCAGACAGTAGGAATTAAACCTCATTCAGTAGTTTGTATGAATTATTTATGTCAATAGCAGAATTATTTGTCCGTTCTTGCGGTGTCCCAGGGAATCATACTGAATAATAGGGTCCTTGAAATGTACATGATAATTCATGTACATGAGTTCCACTCTTTAACTGGTTAGGTTGTACTTCGGTGTACCTTTTAATTGACTGTCGGCAACCACTCAAGCTGGACTGAAAGCAGAAGCATCAAGCAGTTGACTGAAGCAAACACGACTCAAAATTTTGTGAACACATTCATTCATTGTTGCCTAAAGATAGCTCACTCTCAAGAGTTAATTGTGCAATTAAGCTCTTTTTTCAATATAAATTTTTAACTAACTTATTTTTCTCTTTCAACCTGTTCAGATAAGTCATTACACAACTCGGCAACAGGCGGGAATTAAATGTGGGCTTCTTGGTCCAGGGGTAACGACATTACCACTCTACCACAAGAGGGCCAACCCCTCCATTCTTTATATCAGCGTTACTCAGACTGCTTGAGGTGGCGTACTTGTTGGATATTGTTGATTCTTCTATCTATCTACTACCCGTGTGCTGTGTGTTAAAGTTGTTTCATTCTAAGAGGTGCTGTCTATTTTAAAGTTTCTGGAACCTTGGAATATTTGCTCACAGTTTCATGTTGTGTTTATATTTAGCACAAAGCGTTGATTATGAGAATGGTTGCTGAAAAAACTGTCCTTACCTTTCGGATTCCTGATGACCCTCTTCACAGTGGATTGTGAAGGTGGATGTGAGGCAGTACAGGTGTATTTTGCTCCGCTCTTCCATTCCACTGCAGGTAAAATGAGGAGGCTCCGTGTGCTGAAGGTCAGGTCCTGTTCCAGAGCAGTGGGGAAATTGGTGATGTTCGCGCTCACAGAAGCATCATCTTTTTCCCAGAAGATGCGTACTTTGTCAGGATAGAATCCTCTTATCAAACATGTGAGAGTAGCAGAGCTGGTGCTTTGAATCTCTTCTGGTGACGGGGGCAGGAGGCGGAGATATGGTTTCATTGGTTCGACTGTAATGGAATTACAGGCAATTTTAGTCTTTCCTTCATTGCCATTCGTAAATAACATGACATATACAAATACAAATATTTTTTATCACCCACCTCTTGCCTTTCTTGTTTGTTTTATGACTGGGGTGGATGATTGATCCTGTTTTGCGGAGCAAGTGTATTCCACCCCACTCTGCCACTCTTCCACACTGCTGGTCAAGCGGCTGATGGTCAGATATTGGTTTCCACTCATTTTAGCTGCTTCCGTTTGAACGCCTTCATTCCTTACTTTTCCATTTACCATCCAAGAGATGACTATTCCAGCGGAAACTCTAGAGAGCACTTCGCAAACTAGAGTGGCACTTTTATTGATCCAGATTTCTTCAACTGTTGGATCCCTTAGTAATACAGCGATCTCTGTCAGTGAGAAATGCGAGACTTAAATTCTGGTCCTTGTTTCAATAGTGATCTAACCAGAAGTGTAACAAGGATGTCTTAATCAGTGACAAGGGATGCGATGATTAAAATGTGACCACCTCTCTCACTGATATATGTCGAATTTGAAGCAACATTTCTTCTTTGCACGTTTGTTGATTTGCACCACAACTTGTATAAACCAATAAAATCGAGGAATAGAGCAAACAAAAAGAAAAGCAAGGGAAAATTTTTGAGGGGTGAGGGTTTGGTATGGGCCCATGCAGTGAGCAATACCGAAATAAACAAAGAAACAATTCGTAGAAATACAAAGGCAGATGGGTCCTAAAAGGGTCACACATATGTGCAGATACAGATACACAGGGAGACAGGGGCAGAGACAGGCAAACTCAGATAGTGAGATGGAAATATAGAGACATAAAACTAGAGAATGAGAGCATGAGATAGAAGAAGACAGCCAGAGTGAGAGGGAGAGAGATACCGATGGAATGAAGACAAGAGATGGAGGCATGGAGACTGACAGGCGCACACAGAAAGAGGAGCGCTGGGAGCAACAACGAATGATGCACAAAGAATGACTAAAATCTCCAGTTACAGGAGATAAAAGAAGAAATACTTCCAAGATGGAAAATGGAAGACAGACAAATCGAGATGTAAACACATAGTCAGTAAAGAGAGAGATAAACTGATAGAAAGATAGAGATCAGAAGAAATAGAGATGGATCGATGGATGGACAGAGGCAGAGAGAGACTAACAGTAAAAAAGAGAGCAAGAGAGCAAGATAGACAAGGAGAGACAGACAAGATCTACCACACCACGAGGCTCGATGAATTTTAACCACAGTGGATTATTGAGAATCATTATCCCTGTGAGGTCACTGAACCTGCTGTTGAAGAAAACCTATTTGTCTTAGCCTTAATACGGTTTATACAAAGAATGCTTCAACACAGCAAATTGCTGCATGTTTGCTGTCTCTGTCGATTCCCATCGAATAGCAAATTTCTGTCTCTGTTCCACCAGAACCCTCTGCCTCTCCCTTCAGTTTCTCTGAACATCGTCCTCCCAATTCATCTTTTCTACAATTGCATAGCAGCACACAGCAGCAGAAAACACTAAATCCATATTAGTGTCAGCAGGAGAAACAGACTTGTTGAAGTTGAATTCTTTCTGATGAAGTGCATACATTGCCATGGTGTTTTTCCTGCCCTGGATTGAATTTGTAAATTAGCCAATGCGTAGTGCTGGCTTAGTTTATAAAGTGTTTTTAATACCGAGACTGTCTAGAAATTTTGTCTAAACTTGTCATTGTAAGAAGATTGCCAAAGAATCACCATCATTCTGTCGCCTTCCTCATAATGTCTATATTTCTGTCTCTTTTCCTCTGTCTTCCGTCAAGGCCTTCCCTTATTCCAATAATTCTTTCCTACTGAGAACGAGACTTGTAGAGAGCAGAGGGAAATGGTTTCGAATGTTGTGCTCCGCTATGTTTTTGAAAGTTGGATACCTGGATCATTTCCAACTGATTTTTTACCGCAGCATTTCTCTCGACTGTAAGGTGCTATTGGTATCACTCATTGTACCCAGTTCAAGAATATTTCATCCTCAGCAACAGACCACTATAACAATATTTCATCTGGCCCAATACTGAAAATGAAAGTGTTTATGTTTTATTAATTTGAGCTTGTGAGTTTGCTTAATTTTCTTACCGGATGTTGATTTAATGTCTTTCATCTCTTTACTGTTGGTTGCAGAATGAGAAACTTGGCAAGTGTACACAGAACCGCTGCTCCAATCCTGTAGGGGCACTCTAAGTAAACTTAAACTGCTGAAGTCATTGTTCGATGTTTTCTTTGGGGATGTAGTTGTAACACCAGAAGTTATGGCATTTGTGTTCTTCTGCCAGCTCACCGCAATGTTTTCGGGATAGTATCCGCTGATTAGACAAACCAGCTGCACAAATCCGTTTTCTCTCTCTCCTTCAGTTGCAGAGTAGAGGAGACTGACTATTGGTGGAGAAGGCTGTACTCCTAGAAGTACAACAAAGAAAAGACTTACTCCCTTCTGAATAGACGCTTATACTGCTTCTGTGATGTCCTGTCTAATCGATAGCTCTCAAGTGCTACATAAAAAGTATGTTTATGCCATATTATAGCATCATTATACAATGATACGAAAAGACACTGTTCACAACATTGGTGTCATATTTAACCTTGATTTGAGCTCCAAACCATGTAGAGCCATTGAGTCCTATAGAATGGAAACAGATCTTTCAGTCCAACACATCCAAACTTAACTAGTCCCATTTGCCGATGATTGACCCACGTCTTTCCAAACTTGTCCCCTTCATGTACTGTCCAACTATCCTTTAAATGTAATAACAGTACATGTCTCTACCACTTCTTCTGGTAGTTAATTCCACATACACACCATCCTCTGTGCGAAAACGTTGCCACTCAGATCCCTTTTAAATCTTTCTCCTCTCACCTTAAACCTATGATCTCTAGTTTTGAACTTCCCTATCCTAGGGAAAAGACCTTTGATATTTATCTTGTCACTGCTTGTCATGATTACATAAACCTCTATAAGATCACCCTCAACGTCCTTGTTAAGACCATCCATTTTTACATCTAACTTCACTGATTTTTGATTCTCCACTCACCGATAGTTTAAACATTACGTCATGAATTTGCACTGTTTAGAAATTCCTCAGCAACCTCCAAATTTCTAACTTTGGGGCTTCCAAAGTTATGATGCCAGTGTCTTAATTTCAGGCCAAGCACCTATCCCAGATCCCCCCTGTGCTTCGTGACTTACATTTTGCCATGTCAAACCACGCCTCGATCTCAAAACGGCCTTCATCAGCCTTAACTTCTCAATGGCTTCACTCAACTCTAGCTCTAAGATTTCCTCCAGCCCAAGTCATCTGAGAAACATCTATTCATCTAATACTGGCTTCTGGAGAATTCCTGATTTTAACTTTTCCAAAGTTAATCACTGTGCTTCTCGCCTCCAAGACTCAGGGTTCAATATTACTCTCCCATGAACCTTTTTCTTCTCTCCCCTCTTTACACTCCTTGGGCACTTATGAAAGCATGCCTTTATGTTGAAGGCTTCAGCCATGTCTCAAAATATCAGTGATTTTTGCCGAAAATCTGTTTTAAATTTCCTCCTTATGGAACATTTTCATCTCATAAAGTTATCAGGAAACAAGTTTGAATAGGCCTTTCGAGAAGAAGGTGTCATTTGGGTTTCTATAAGATAGTAGAAACGTTTTTGACACCAGAGAGCAAAGACATTTTGGGGGCTTGCTCATGTGAATGAGGGAGCAAGACTGTTCCTTTATAAGTAGAAAATCTACTACACTAACAGATGTTGGAGTTTGATAGTACGCACAGATCAATTCCCAATCCTCGAACTGCGATTAAGTATCATTGTTTTCAGAGGATCACTGGGGACTATAAATGGACATTTCGTGACTGTAACAGAGCGATAATCTTATTCTCAAGTACTCTATCCTCATGGTTGCTCCATAGTTACTTTTCAAAATGGTTCTCGCCAAGCTGTTGTACAATGAGCACACAACTGTACTGTGAACATCGCTGCTTCTTAAGCAAAGTTCCTTGAAACAAATATATATCTCCAACGTAAAACGCATCACTTAATATCTTCCTTTATGTATCTGGATATTTTTAATTGCCTCGTATTCTCAATACACCCAAATGGGTTTCTTTCCATTCATTTTTTGGTTGACCTTCATAAATTTGAAATATTCTTACCAAGGAAAGATACCAGACTTCCTTGTCCCCAAAACGAAGCCTATTGTCACCTAAACAATCATCTGACCAGACTGTTCACAACCGTGGACTCACTCGTGACCTTGTGTTGAGCATCAGACTTCTTACTGTAGCTATCAGTAAGACCATTCCCTTATTGCTGCAATGTTTCTCCTCTCTCGGAAATGCCACAGATGAGATTCGACCATACCCTCCAAGTTCTTCAAAGGTACGCTCGACTATTCCGATACTCTCACTGAAATTCCACCTTCAAATTATTTAAATTAAAACTAATTCGAACTCTGCTGCCAAATCCTAAATTACACTACTGCTTGTTCACCCATCACTGCATTTACTCAAAGTCAAGCAATACGTTTTATTTAAATTTCTGATCCATTTTTTCAAATCTAGCCACAGCTACACTCTTACTTCTAAAACACCAAAGATAAACACGGTCCTGGTTTTCTGTAATCGTCCAATCCTGGCTTTATCACACGTGAAATTTTATCATGAAACAATACAGCAGCCTTATCAACCCCATTTCTGAATGTCGAACAACTGTGTCCTCTGGTCTTTTCACACATGGACACTGTTCCATGATCTCCTGCAAGCACACTTTTGACAGACTCTATGTCCTTTTTCTACCAAAGTAGGAAATCAACATGCTGCAATTCCTTCCATGGCAATGACTACTCATTTCAGTCTCTGTAGCACCATAGACCTGCACAACAACTGAGTACACTTGCAACTGAAGCTGTCGTGCATATGTTTATGTCCTCCCAAATCTGCAGTGTCGAAACAGCGGGTTCTGATACTTTGCGACAAGAATCACGGCTGCACTAATTTGAATTGATATTAACTCTATCCGCCCTGATATTCAGTACATGCCAAGTCCAAAAGTTTACAAAACTGCTGATGATCTTCACCACTCTCCTTCTTGCAGGATGACATGGATTGGATTGGTACAGGTAGTGTCGGAATGATAGAGAGCTTGGAAACCTGTACAAGTGTCACAGTTCATTTACAATGCAATTTGCATGACAGAAAGAAGTGCGACAGAGTCACATCAGACTGGAAACATAAATTCTGTTTCTCTCTTCGCAGTTACTGCTGAGCTTCTTCCGAATTTGCTGTTCTTATTTTATGAAAGAGAGAGGGGTGACCCCCATTTCAGGAAAACAGCATGTGAAATGGGTTTGAGTGAAGTTGAGAAATGATCAAGTCATTAAGATAATTGTGGGAATTGTGTTCAGGTAACACATCAGTAACTACACGCTGGAGGGAGCATAAAGGAAGACAGTATGAGAGTTTGTCAGAATATCGCGGCTATAATGATGGGAGATTTTATCGATATAATAGCTAGGAAAGTCAAATGTGCAACGGTAACTTTAGTGTGGAGTTCGTACAAAGGTTTGGAATAGTTTCTTCAAACTGCATGTCCTGGAACTCTGCTAAACTTGTAACGGTGAAACGTGATCTGATTAATTCATGATCTCGTATTGAAAATCCACCTACGTATCAGCGACACTAATACAATTGCATTTTGCGTTTAATTTGAGGAAGAGAGGATTAGCTCCAAAATTTGAAAAAAAAGGTATTATTGTGACATGAAAACAGAGCTGCTTGAAATAAATTGGAAAATTAGGCTCGAAGAGAAGTCAACAATGATACAATGGCAGACATTTAAGGAGACATTCCAGATCGCACAAAATAGATACATGCCAAAATTGTAAGGAGAAATCCAAGGGACGAACCTGCCATCTGTGGCTAAAGATAATATCGACATTAAACAAAACGGATTTGATTGCAGACAGACAGAAGACAAGTCAGAAAATTAAACAGAATTTGCAGGAATGAATCATTTGAAAATTAATAAGTAGTGAAACATCATAGTACGATAGGAAGCAAAGTAGAGATTAAAAACAGGGAGTGTGAGTTCTTACAGGTGTTTTGTAAGTAAATGATTTACAAAGTGAACATCGTTCATGCAAAGTATGAGTGTGGGGAATTCATGCTGTAAAACAAGAGAGATGGAAAGTTTATAGAACACTTATTTTGCATCAGTTTACACGAAAGAGATTAAAAGCAACATCCAAGAAGCAACAATGAATCGGCAAATGAAAGGAAGGGCAGAAACAGGAAAATCACAATCACCAGAGGAACAATATTGATTAAATATTTGCAGCAACGAGCCAACACCTGTCAGTTCTCTCATGGCATCATCCTAGTGTCTGAGCAAAAAATGCTATTGAAACAACTGATGTCTTGGTTTTACGTTTGTGTGACATCCTCGATTATGGAAAAGACCTTTAGATTGACAGAAAAAAAATTAAAACTTTCAATCAAAAATAGTGTGAGACAGTGAGCAAGAAATGATTGAGAATTTAGTTTAACAGCAGTAGTGGCAAAATGTTAGGATATACCATAAAATGTGTCACAGCAGGGCACTTAATAAGTTCAAGGGATTCAGTGTGAAAATAAAATGATTTTGTGAAAGGGAGATCATATTTGCCAAATCTACCAGACAAAGGGGAATCGGTGATTTCAGTTTGTTTAATATCTGAAGGCATTCGATAAAATGCTATGTCAACGTTGAAATTCCGGAAATGAAAGACCTGGGTGTAGGATACTGGAATGGACAAAAGATGAGCTGGGTAGTAGGAAACTGACAGTAAGTGTACAGGACTCATTTTAAGATTCGAGAATGATGTGCCAGAGGGACTGATGCAGAAATGTGAATGTTTGCAATTTATCACTTGGATGAGGATGTATAAATTCTGTTTGCCAAATTTGTTGAATCACAAAAATAGAAAGGACATTAAGTCAGTCATCAGTGGGCACAAGGGATTACAAAAATATGGTGATAGGCGTGGGTTGTGGGAAATTGAATAAAGAAAGACCATTTCGGAAGAAGAATAGAAAAAACGTATAATCAAAACAGTGACAAATTGTAGAATTCTGAGGTTCAGAGGAGGCCTGATGAATGTATTGCTTGAGATTACTACACACGGACATAAAGTAATTAAGAAAAATAAACCAATGATATCACTTATCACACGAGAAATTGAACACAAATGTACAGAAGTTATTTTCTTTTTTCAGAAAGACTAGGCACATCAGAGATACCTCCTGGAGGTTAGTGTGTGATATTTACAGGAGGATATAAGTGCGCTAGAGGCTGTTCAGAGAAAGGTCACTAGAGAAGTCCCTTGAATGAGTATGTTGTCTTATGAGGAATGGTATTGCAGCCCTCCTGCCTGAACTGCTACTTAAATGTTGCATTCACAATTGGATGTTGCACAATCAGGGCCATAACAAAATATAAATCTACTATAAATCAGATGCAGTCAGTGTACCATTTCCCAGTAAAGTGAAAGACACCTAAGGAAACACAGAGTAAATTATTCCTGTGGAGGACTAGGAGGTTATAACTGATTTCATTATATCACATGCCAGTTTGGAAAAAAAAATCTTGGTCTAATTTACCAATAACTACAATAAAACGTCGGAGATATTCTGAACTGTGCAACCAAATTTGTTCCATGTTTTATGTGGCAGAGTGCGTTGTGTCTCAAATTTTTCTAAACTGAAAATAAATGTTGGCCCAGTCAGCGACTTCCACATCTCATGGGTGTTTTTCTTTTTTTTAATCAACGTAAGAGATATATTTTAGACATGCAAGACTTATGACACAAACAGCATTCTCTCCATTGGAGAATAAAATGAAATTGCCATTAAAGAATGGAAAATTCAGAGAATAAGTGAAACATTACAGCGATAAATATTGTATGAGGACTCATTAAAATGATAGGGCTGTTTAAGTACTAACGGGGGTTGTAAAGAAATTCAAGCTCGAAACAGTGAAAACATAATGCTGGAAAGTAACTATCAATGCGTGTATTAAAGTAAGAATGCTGGGCAATTTCGAAAATTAAATACATATATAATGTCCCTGTGAATACAACTGACATAGATGGCAAAGCCATGGTTTTATTCGCTGTTTTCAGAGAGAGGAAACAGGCATTAAATTAACCTTAAAAAACACTATTGTCTATTTCAGGGAACGACATTTGACTCTCGGTTTTCATCAAGTCACCATTCCATGAAATGTCTAAACAACTATTAACTGAAATAATGAAACGCGCATGCACAAGAATGTTATCATATCAAATCGGAATGGTTTGGGATCGGTTTTAGCGTTGTTAAAGTTGAAGGGGAAGCATTTTTTTATGGGAGAGAATTTCATGAGTGAACAAACTGCATGAAGCATTGTACTGGAATCAAACGATTGTCTCACTGCACCCTATCCCTGTGTCCTTTGAGAAAGCTTCCGACCTGTAAGTGACCATTTTATCTTTGTGATAAAAATCCTGCACCTCCAAATTTCTTTTAGCCCAATCTGTATTTTAACGTTTCCTTTCAGAGACAGTGTTGTCAGACGAATACTGTCTCTGAAATACTAGGTACCAGATTATTTTCTCGGATGACAGGACTGATGTCTGAAAAGAGACCGAGTCATAAAGTCAGAGAGTCATGCAGCATGGAAACGGGTCCTTGAAGTCAACCAGTCCACGCTGACCATGTTCCCAACTAAACTAGTCCCACCTGCCTGTATTTCACCCATATGCATCCAAAACATTCCTATTCATAAACGTATAAAATGTCTTTTAAAAGTTGTGACTGTGCCCGCATTCATCACTTCCTCTGGCAGTTCATTCAACAGAGGAACCACTATCTGTGTAAAGAAATTGTCCCTCGTGTCCTTTTTAAATCTTTCTCCAATCAACTTAAAAGTATGTCCACTAGTTTTGAACTCATCTACCCGAGATGAAATGCTCTTGTCATTCCCCTTATTATTGCACCTCATGATTCTATAAGCATCAAAGATTACCCTTCAACCCCCTACCCTCCAGTTTAAACAGTCATAGTCTTTCTGGTCTATTTTTATACCTCAACCCTCCACTCCCAGCAACATCCTGGGAAATCTTTTCTGAACCCTCTCCGTTTAATGGTAGCCTTCCTATAACAGGACGACCAGATAGTACTCCAGAGGAGGCCTTGCCATCTGTACAACCTCAACATGATGTCTCAATTCCTATACTCAAAGGTCTGAACTTGAAGGCAAGCATGCTAAACGCCTACTTAACCATCCTGTCTACCAGTGATGGAAATTTCAAAGAATTATATACTTGACCTCTTCGGTCGCTCTGTTCTACAACATTACCCAGGGCCTTACCATTAATTGTATAAGTACTGTCTGGACCATATTCGCTACCAGAAAAAGTGGCTGAGGCCGAAACGTTGAATGTTTTAGATAAGAATTCAGATATAGCTCTTCGGGCTAAATTGATCAAACAGTCTGGGAGAAAACGGTTACAGATTATACAGTTGAATTGTCAGTTACGATCATATTGAATTGTGGAGCAGGCCCGAAGAACCAAACGCTCTTCTGCTATTCCTACTTCTATGTTTCCATGTATTATATGGAAGACTATTCCTCAGGGTTAATTTTATTTGCCACTTGCTGGACTGATCTAATCTTCCATAAAATTCACTGTATACTTTTCTTTATGGCAAAGTGGAAAGCAGTAGTTCAGATTTGATATTGGGTCATGTTTCAGCAATTTTGCTTTGCAGTAATTATAGCCCTTTGCAGCCAATTACAGACGCTGGTGATATTCGTCTACCAGAAAGTTTCCCAAGTTGAACAAGTCATCTCTGTATTGGTAAACATAATCCTATCAATGTATAAGTCAAAATCAATTTAAGCAGGCTTGTAAAAAAGAAAAAAAAAAGTTGCACTTGTAACTACAAAACACGACATTGCACAAAAATAAAATGAGCTTTTCATGGCTATTAAAGATACCAGGTAAACTAATTAAAATTACATCGTGTAAACACACTCGGTCCCACCTCATTCAAACAGTTATAATTATTTTCAGGGAATTTACCATCAAATCAACAATATTACAGTCGAAGGTCTTGTCAATTTTTAATTGCATGAGACATCCCCTCTGCATTTCATTCAGACACAATTCAAAATAGCGTTACTGCTAGCATAAAACATTTCTCAATTCAGACTTGCCTAAACTGTTCGAATGAAAAGCTCTGTGTATCTGTAAAACACTAGCACGCCAAAGTACAGGATAACTTCGTTGTCTGTTTCCTTTGTAGCAGCTGAACTCCATGATCTATTTAAATAAGCATCTTACGTCCTTCTTGCCAAGTAGAATATATGTTGAAATATTGGCTTGTTCCCAGCCTAATTATATATTTAACAATATACTCATGCTCCAACGAAATCTGAAAATGAGCTTGTAATTTAAGGCACATAAATTGGCAACACACCTAACCGAGCCCATGAAAAAACATTCTTCCAGTTATCACGTTATGCAGTTCAAACTGTTTTAATGAGAACTATGACTTTTTGTAATTTGTCAGCAAAACCATAACGGTTTGTAGAGAGGGAGGTCACTTACCAGGATTTACAGTCACGACAGTGCCACCTCCGTATACATAACAGCTGTCACAGTCAATCAGATCTCAATCAATGCTGCCCAAAAAGGTCAGTGAAGCAACCGTCATATTATCAACATTTAAAGACACGTCTTCTCCAGTGTCTCCCATATACATTCATAGCATTAACTAATCCTCATTTATGGACAGTTATAAATCCATTCACATTTTCCCTATCTCCAATGCGAGTGTGAGTAACATTGGAAAAGACAGCATGCTGAGTTTACATCCGAGGATGTGTAGAGAGTTCCAGAAAACGGCAAACTAGAATTGATGTTAAATTTCATGAAGCAGCAACCATCAGCAAGAAAGTTCATTATTGAAATCACGTTCAAGAAGTAAAACAGACAACTGTGGGAAAGGTTTATGCTGCGGCTTGTGTCACTGTGTCTACACCACAGCACATCATTTCACTCCAGCACAAGAAATCCATTGTTGCAAATATCGCCAAAAATCATCCAGATGTTCCAGGATATTGATTGACTGATGCAGAATGTATGATGCAAATCATTCCCTTTATATTGTGTTCCCAGTCAACGTTTATACTTTTGGGGCACTCGGCAAATGCTGGATAATTGTCAACATTGCAATGTGAATATGATTTTGGCATCCACATAATAATCAACTGAAGGAGTATGAATATCGTTCTACAGCTGCAGCCAGACTTTAACAGTTGCAAGGAGCATTTAAGCATGATGTGTTTCGGCATGGAGATAATAATTTGCATTAATAATGAACTCCAAGGCGTTGGGAGGTTTCAGTATTACGGGAATCAAAGATTCATTGCTGTGGTATTCACAGTAACACAGTCACACAGATCAGTACAAAAACGTCTCACTTTCATTCATACAACAGCCTGAAGTCGAGGTGCAAACCACAATCCAGATTCCTACAATTGTACATCTTTTTGTGGTTCTTTCAGAAAACTAACATTGACAACCCTCCAAGCTACAGAATAGCTGCTCATCCCGATAACCAATAAATCAAGGTATTTCTGATTCTGGTAACAATGTGTGCTGGTCGTTTGTGTATTACCAGAGTCATCTTCTCGATTGCTGTGTCCATAGCAGCTATATCACAGTGTTACATGCCAGTGCAAAAATAAATGGTCGTACATAACGGTAAATTAAACAGCAGTGCTGAACATCCAATTGCCTCTTGTCCAGATTTTTCTGCTGAATGTTGGTATCAATCTTTTATAACCTGCTTCCTGCTGTTACAGATCAGAATTGACGTAATCAAAGTCAATGTTCAGCGTTGAGAGAAAAAATAAGTCCGAATTACTTCATAGGAGATTTGACGGTATTCTGTAATGATGAAAGATCAAGCTCATTACTGTGCATGCTGTGCATCGATACGTGCCACTGTCTTCAACTGTTAGATCATTAATTCTCAAAGAAAAGGACTTTGATCCGCTGTTAACTGTTTCAACATATCGTCCACCTGTCGATATGCTGTCCTCGTTTGTTGACCCCAATTTTTTTCGATACCAGCCCGTGTTGCACAATCCACAGTTAGTATCTCTTAGGACACAGTTGATGGTCAGTGATTCGCCCGTCTCCTTTGTTATTGTTGTCGGTGTTTGGTCCACTCGAACAGTAAAGACATCTGGACAGAGAAAGGCATATTTAATACATGACATTTATCTGACAATAGAAGAGTTTTCAGAAAAGGACATTAAAATAACGTAAAAACAGATGCACAGTTTAAACAAATAAATATCTATATGAAACACCACTTACTTGGTAATAAGGCTAAAAGGACAGAAAGCAAGAAAATATTCATTGTTTCTGCACCGATAGAACTATAAACAGCAAACTCCAGATTTCAACACCGCTTGTTCTGTGTAACTGTGTGTACCGGAGCACTGACATTATAAACCCCGTGAGACTGGGTTTATTTGCATGGCACGGAGCGAGAAACCAATCACATTCATGATAGCTCAGGGTTGTGATGGGCTGAGTTTTGTGCCCTCTAAACGTAGTCACGTTATGGGGATCTGCATCGATTTAGAATGAACAGATCATTAGTATAATGGAGAAACCACTTCTATATAACTATGCCGCATTTCTTCATATCAGGCTTCATTGTATGTGCTTAATTTCTTTGTGTTTTAACTTGGTGATATTTTAATTTCATTTCTGGGAACATCTACCATGTTAAGACAGCGAACTCATGGACATGGTCACACCTAAAAGCTGATAAATTGGAGTAATTAGCACATGGAAATCACTATTAATTGTTGAAATTTTGCAGTTTTTAAATAAAAGGCAATGATAATGCTTTGAATTGGCAGAGGTTTGGTGCTTTGATGTGAAAGGATTTTTTTGACGATAGCTTTCAAGCTTGATACGACTCTAAAAAGAATCAAAAGAAAATCCAGTTCTTTTTCTTGTTGTTAAATCAATAAAAGTCAGTACAAATTATAAATCACAAGAGGTCCTGAAGACCAAATAACATATTTCAAGAGTTCAGTATTCGATTCCAGCCAAGAGTTTGAAGATTGTGATTTCAGAGCTTGCACCAGAGATTCACGAGAATGTCGACTTCTATGTACAAATCGCGATATGAGGAGCATATTAAATTTGAGCTGTTCTTTGTTCGAAGAACTGTCATTATTGGCTCACATAAAAGACTTGTTTGAAATTCTGAATAGGTGGGACCTCTTTGCAAAGAGAAGTTGAAGAATATGAAAATAGAAACCGTTTATACACGTGTAAATGTAAAATCTTTAGCAGAGGGGCAGAAGACAAGCCGTTGTAGACAGGGTCGTGAAGCTATGGAAACATTTCCCAGTGTTGTAGTTTCATGCTGTGATATTTCCTCAGAAGTGCTCCGATTAATACTCATGACATGACGTTTTAACTTACTTTTGGTCTACTGAGATGCTGCTAAGGCTGTTGAGCATTTCAAGGTTAATCTATTTGCCTTTTAATGCAAAATTTCGAGTATCATTGCATGTTCTGTTCTTGGTGATGATTTACTGAATTGTGTACAAGAATCATTTGATCAGCCTGTTTCCAGTTTAATGAACAAGAACACAATACTGTGTCTAGACCTGGGAGATGAAATTTTGTTGGTAAAACATTTTTAGATTGGGGAATATTTTGGGAACGTAAATTGTCATATCATCATTATGTAATCAGCTGTAGTCTTCTGAAAGTTGGTGGTCTAGTGGGCAATGTAGAAGATTATCTCAGAGTCTAGCGGCACCTTGATCATATGAGCTAATGGGTCAGGGAGTGATAAATGTGAGGTGATGAATTTTGGAAAGGCATATCAGGGCAGGACTTTAATGGTAGGGGCGTGGGGAGTGTTGTCGAACAAAAAGACCGAAGGGTCCAGATGCAGAGTTCCTTGAAAATGCAGTCACAGGTAGACAGAGTGGTGAAGAAGGTATTTGACACGACTGCCTCCATTGGTCAGTAAATTGAGTACAGGAGCTGGGGCGTCATGTTGCGGTTATACGGGACATTCATTAAGCCCCTTTTAAAATAACGTGTAAAATTCTGTTCACCCTTTTCTTAAGCTAGAGAGGGTGCAGATTAGATTTATAAAGATGTTGCTGGAACTGAAGGGTTTGAGAGAGGCTGAATAGGCTGGGCCTTATTTTTCTCCTGGACTATCGGAGGCTTGGTGGTGACCTTATATAGGTTTATAAAGTCATTAGGGGCATGGATAGTGAATAGCGCAGGTGTTTTCCCTCGGGTGGGTGAGTCCAAAACTAGAGGGCATTGGTTTAAGGTGAGAGGGGAAAGATTTAAAATAAAAGAGCTCAGGTGTAACTTCTTTACACAGAAGGTGGTGTGCGTATGGAACGAGCTGCCAGAAAAAGTGGTGGAGGCTGGTACAATTGCAAAATTAAAAACGCATCTGGTTGGATATATGAATGGGAAGGGTTTAGAGGGACATGGGCCAAATGCTGACAAATGGGGCTAGGTCAGATTGGGACGTCTGGTCGGTGCAGAGGAGTTTGACTAAAGGGTCTGTTTCCATGCTGAATGATTCTATGACTCTATGCCTCTGCCTAATTTAGTGAGCCATGTGAATACTCTGACTAAAGGAACAGATCGGTTGCTCGCAACTCTGTAATCAATAACACCTCCAGGTTACCAAGATCCTATCCTCCATCTGCAAGGCAAACTTCAAGAAGCATCAATTGACGGGACGAATGCATCTCCACCCACTCGAGGAGTTCGACACTATCCAAGACAAGTCTGAGCAATAATTGCATAACCTCCAATAACACTTACTCATTGTGGCAAATGCATTTTTTATCGACAAGATTCACTGCACTAACTCTCCAAGATTCGTTCGCCAGGGTCTTGAAAACATTTGACTTCTAATACCGAGAAGAACAAGAACAGCAGACACCTTGAACAAAACAACACTCAATAGCTTCACGTTTTCTCAATTTGAAAATTTGGTTCTGCCCGTTCACTGCCTGTTTCTGTACCTTCGACTTTTAAGGTCCCATCTTTACCATTTTATATTCCGATTTATAGTGTCATTTGAGGATATAGAGACGTAATTCTATAATCTTTGCTCCATATCATTCTTTTCCTGTCAATTAACGAAACACTTTTTTTCACATCTGATACAAATTCCAACTTCTGTTCAAAGACTCACTCCAACCTTGTGCATTCTGAATTATTGTAATAATCTTAGTTGTGGAACCTTGGTGAATCCTCTTGAAAGTTATTATAGGTAACTTCAATAGACATTCTGGTACATAACCACCTACTTCAAAAAGAAACTCGATGGTCTGACATGACGAGTCATGAACAGAGCTCTGCTGATGTTTGGCCTTCAGTCACTCAATCATAGAATCCCTACAATGTGGAAGCAGGTCATTTCATTCGGCACATAGAGTCCATACTGACTGTCTGAAGAGCATCCCACTGAGACCCACCGCCCCACTCCATCCCTGTAACCCTGCATTTCCCATAGCTAATCCACCTTGCCTGCACGTCCCTGGATACTCTGTAAATTCAGCATAGTCAATCGGCCTAACTTATACATCTTTGGACTGTGGGAGGAAACCAGAGCATCCAGAGGAAACCCACTTTGATACGTGTAAACTCCACAAAGACAGTCGCCTGAGGCTGGGTTTGAACCCGGGTCCCTGGCATCGTGAGATCGAGTGCTAACCACTGTACCATCCTGTGCCACCCTAGTGAGTCCAGTGGTTTCCAAATACTGACGATGTACTAACAGGCAAGTGGCTTCCTTGATTTCATTTCCCTGATCGATTTTTTATGATACAAAATGTTGACTGATTGATTAATTTTGTTGTCACGTGTACGGAAATACCGTGAAAATCTTTGTTTACGAGCGGTGCACATAGATTACAGCAAGCAAAGGATGTACTGATTGAAATGATTTCGAGGTATACAGGTTACATTGTTTGCTCCAGAGTACATTCAACAGTCTAATAATATAAGAACATAAAAACTAGGAGCAGGAGTAGGCCATCTGGCCCCTCGAGCCTGCCCCGCCATTTAATAAGATCATGGCTGATCTTTTTGAGACTCAGCTCCACTTACCCGCCCACTCACCATAACCCTTAATTCCTTTGCTGTTCAAAAATTTATCTAGCCTTGCCTGAACCACATTCAACGAGGTAGCTTCAACCGCTTCACTGGGCAGGGAATTCCACAGATTCACAACCCTTTGGGTGAAGAAGTTCCTCTGACCTCAGTCCTACATCTACTTCCCTTTATTTTGAGGCTATTCCCCCTCGTCCTAGTTTCACCTGACAGTGGGAACAACCGCCCTGCCTCCACCTTATCTATTCCCTTCATAATCTTATATGTTTCTATAAGATCTCCCATCATTCTTCTGAATTCCAACGAGTATAATCTCAGCCTACTCAGTCTGTCCTCATAATCCAACCCTCTAAACTCTGGAATCAACCGAGTGAATCTCCTCTGCACCCCCTTCAGTGCTAGTATATCTCTTCTCAAGTAAGGAGACCAAAACTGCACACAGTACTCCAGGTGTGGCCTCACTAGGACCCTATACAGCTGCAGCATAGCCTCCCTGTTTTTAAACTCCATCCCTCTAGCAATGACAGACAAAATTCCATTTGCCTTTTTAATTACCTGCTGAACCTGCAATCCTACTTTTAGCGATTCATGCACAAGGACACCCAAGTCCCTCTGCAGAGCAGCGTGCTGCAATGTTTTACCATTTAAAACATAGACCATTTTGTTGTTATTCCGACCAAAATGGATGACCTCACACTTATCAACATTGTACTCCATCTGCCAGACCTTTGCCCACTCACCTCGACTCTCTATGTCCCTCTGTAGACTTTCAGTGTCTTCTGCACACTTTGCTCTACCACTCATCTTAGTGTCATCTGCAAATTTTGACACACCACGCTTAGTCCCCAATTCCAAATCATCTATGTAAATTGAAACAGTTGCGGTCCCAACACTGATCTCTGAGGCACACCACTAGCCACTGACCACCAAACATAAAAACATCCATTTACCCTTAGTCTTTGCTTTCTACTCGTCAACCAATTCTCTATCCATGTCAATACATTACCTGTAATACTGTGCAACTTTATCTTATGTAGCAGCCTTTGGTGTGAGACCTTGTCAAATGCCTTCTGGAAATCCAGATACACTGCATCCACAGGTTTCCCATTGTCCACCATGCAAGTAATGTCTTCAAACAATTCCACCACATTAGTTAAACATGACCTCCCCTTCGTGAACCCATGCTGGGTGTTCCCAATGGGAGAATTTGTACCCAGATGTCTTGCTATTTCTTCCTAATGGCCGGAAAGAAGCTGCTCCTGAACCTGCTTCCGCGTGTGTTCAAGCTTCTGTGTCTTCTGCTAAACG